ACTGAAAAATTTCTTCAATCAAGACAAGAATTCGCTAAATTAGTAAAATTTAAAATTAATATCGACTTTGTTATATACAACTAACAACTAGTCAGGAGATATAATGAAACTTCATTACAATAAAGTCAAGAGAAAAAAGATAACAAAATCCCAAAATACACTGAAGATGATGCATGCTTGAGGAAAATCTGAAACGACTCCTATAGGATGTAAAAGCAAACTTGCACAAATAAGAAGCACACTGTGTTCTTGGATAAAACACTCAGCATTATCACTTTTTCAATTCTAAAGACTTTATTTAAGAGAGAGAACGAGCACAAGCAGCAGGAGTGGCAGAGGCAGAGAGAGAAGCAGGCTCCCTGAAGAGCAGGGAGCCCGAGGTGGGGCTCAATTCCAGGACCCTGGGATCATGACCTGAGCTCAAAGCAGAAGCTGAACTGGCTGAGCCACCCAGACGCCCCTACTTTGTCAATTCTAAACTGATAAATTTAACGTGATTTTAATAAAAATTAAAATTGAGTTTGTTGATTTATTTGCTGGGACTAGACAGACTGATTTTAAAATCATATGCGAAAAGAAACAACTATCACCAGGACAAAGGAGAAAAGAAAACAATGAAAGGGACTCACTGTATCAGGTATTGAAAGTTTTGGGGCACATGGGTGGTTCTGTTGGGTTAGCATCAGATTCTTGGTTTCTGCTCAGATCATGATCTCACGGGTCCTGAGACTGAGCCCTGCATCAGACTCTGTTCTCAGCGGGGAGACTGCTCCAGATTGTCTCCTCTGTCCTCCCCACCCCCTCACACAAACCCTCTCTCTCTCCCCTTCTCTCTCTGAAATGAAGAAATAAATTTTAAAAAATTAAAGTACTACAAGGCCTCAATGACTAAAATAATAAAGACACATTATTAGAAAAAACTACAAATGGATCAAGAATTTAAATATAAATAGTAAAGCCATGAAAGTGCCAGAAGAAAGTATGAGTAATTCAGGCCTTTGTATGGGGATTTTCTTTCTAAGTGTTACTTAAAAGGAGCCACAAAAGAAAAGACTGATTCATTTAGCTACAAATATAGAACATAAGCATGCCAAAAGTCAAAAGACAGATGACAACCTGGGAAGATATATTCACAGATCATATCATAGAGAAGGGCTCATCTCCTTAATATATAAAGAACTCCTAGACATTGAGAAGAAAAAGAAAAAGAGACCAATAAGGAAATGGATAAAAGAGAAGAATGGGTAGCTCACCGAATAAGAGATACAAATAACTCTTCAAGATATGAGCCTCATTCACAATAAGAAAGACTAAATGAAACACAGAGACCATGGCCATCTTTTTCCCATAAGAACAGTCAAAGTCAAAAGTCAACACCACTGGGGAGGAATGGGGACCTTTTACATATTTTTACATATTTTTGGTGGCTGTGCAGTATGGTCAAAGCTCCACAGAGAGCAAGAACTTTCAAAATAGCAACACTGTACTTTGACCCAGCAATCACACTTCTGGGTGTTGGGATCCTACAAACATATGTACACACACGCGCGCACACACACACAATGATATAAGTGCAAGGTTATACATTGCAGCATTGATTTGAAAGAGAGAAATATTAAAAACAGCCCAAATGTCCATCTGTGAGAGATTAGTTAAATGAGCCACTATACAGACAGGAAGAGTACACAGTAGTAAAAAGGAATGAAGAAGCTCTCCATGTACTAATATGGCTGATCTCCAGGATATATTTGCTTAGTTAGAAAAAAATAGGATGAAAGGCTTAAACATGAGACAGGAATCCATCAAAATCCTCAGGGAGAAAATAGGCAGAAACATCTTCAACCTCAGCTGTAGCAACTTCTTACTAGACATGTTGCCAGAAGCAAGAAACAAAGGCAAAAATGAACTACTGGGACTTCATCAAAATAAGAAACTTCTGCACAGTGAAGAAAACAATCAACAAAACTACAAGGCAGCCTACGGAATAAAAGAAGATATTTGTAAACGACATATCAGACAAAGGGTTAGTATCCAAAATCTGTAAAGAACTTATCAAATCAATGCCCCCCAAACCAAATAATCCAGTTAAGAAATGGGCAGAAGACATGAATAGATGCTTTTCCAAAGAAGACATCAGATGGCTAACAGACACATGAGAAGATGCTCCACATCACTCATCATCAGGGAAATACAAATCGAAACCACGATGAGATGCCACTTCACACCTATCAGAATGGCTAACATTAACAACTCAAGAAACAACAGGTGTTGGCAAGGATGCAGGGTAAGGGGAACCCTCTTGCACTGTTGGTGGGAATGCAAACTGGTGCGGCTACTCTGGAGAACAACATGGAAGTTTCTCAGAAAGTTTAAAATAGAACTACCTACCTATGACCCAGGAATTGCACTATCAGGCACTTACCCAAAGGATACAAAATTCAGAGGGGGTACATTCACCCTGGTTCAAAGGGGTACATGCACCCTGGTGTTTATAGCAGCATTACCAACAATAGCTAAACTGTGGAGAGAGGGGGCCACCTGGGTGGCTCAGTGGGTTAAGCCTCTGCCTTCGGCTCAGGTCATGATCTCACAGCCCTGGGATCGAGCCCCACATCGGGCTCTCTGCTCGGTGGGAGCCGCTTTTCCCTCTCTCTCTGCCTGCTGCTCTGCTTACTTGTGATCTCTCTCTCTCTCTGTCAAATAAATAAATAAAATCTTTAAAAAAAAAATGAAAGTAAACTGTGGAGAGAGCCCAAATGTCCATCAATTAATGAATGGATAAAGAAGATGTGGGACACACACACACACACACACACACACACACACAATGGAATATTACTCAGCCATAAAAAGAATGATATCTAGCCGTTTGCAATGATGTGGATGCAGCTAGAGTGTGTTATGCTAAGTGAAATAAGTCAGTCAGAGAAAGTCAAATACCATATGATCTCACTCATATGTGGAATTTAAGAAAGAAAACAGAAGAACATATGGGAAGGGAGGGGAGGGAGAGAGGGAAGTGAACCATAAGAGAGTTATAATGATAGAGAACAAACTGAGGGTTGATGGAGGGAGGTGGTGGGGGGAGTGGGATAGATGACTGAAGTGTATTAAGGAGGGTACTTTTTGTGATGATCCCTTGGTGTTGTATGTAAGTGATGAATCACTGAACTCTATTCCAGAAACCGATATTGCACTGTACGTTAACTGAGTAAAATTTGGCATTTAAAAAAAAGATAAAATAGGTGCATAGTAATATATATAATATGCTGTCTATTTTGTAAAGAGGGGGAAATAAGAATATATTTTCATTTGCTTCTGTCTGCACAAAGGCCTACTGAAAGTCTCCCCAACAGCATAATAAAAATGGTTTCAGTGAGGAAATGAAGAATGTGGGAATTGGTGACAGAAGTGGCATGAAAATTCTCAGTGTACACTTTTTTTTTTTTAAAGATTTATTTATCTATTTGAGAGAGTGCCCCACGGTGGGGGGAGGAGTTGTTGCGAAGGGAGAGGGAGCAGAAGAGAGAGAATGTCAAGCAGACTCATCTCAAGCAGACTCCTTGCTGAGCATGGAGCTCAATGCAGGGCTCATTCTCACGACCCTGAGATCATGACCTGAGCTGAAATCAAAACTTGGATGCTTAACTGACTGAGCCACCCAGGCGCCCCTGTATTTTCTTATATAGTTTTGGTTTGTGAATGATACATATAGTATGTATCACCTTAAAAAAAAACAAAGGATGAACTATAGTCAATGTCACTTTTGAACTTAGATGCAAAGTCAGATGCTGAGTGATTATAGATGACTGTATAGCAGAAAATGCTGCAATGTTTCAGTTTGGGGAAATGTATTGACAAAGCACATTAGAAGTCCAAAGAGGTAAACAAGTGAACAAATAAAAACCCAAACCAGAAAACAACCAATATGATGATGTAGGCATTTGTTCATGTCTACAAGGCAACTTGTACAGTTAAATATTCAGTCCTAATAAAAAATAAATACTAATAAAAACTAATGCAAGTAAGTAGGAATTGATGAATACTTCCGTAATGTGCTTTAACATGTATCAAACCAACAGCCAACAGCAAACAACAAAGACATCTCCTGTATAATCAGAAACCAGAGAAGCTGCCTTCTTAATTTTGGCTCAGGTCATGATCTCAGAGTCCTAAGATTGAGCCCCATATTGGGGTCCACACTGAGCATGAAGCTTGCTTAAGATTCTCTCTCTCCCTCTCCCTCTGCCCCTACCCTTGTCCTCTGCTTGCAGGCTTTCTCTTGAAGGAAGGAAGGAAGAAAGGGGGGTAGGAGGGGGAGGGAATGGGACAAAGTAGGACACAGAAGATTTTGCATTAGCTCCTTTAGTTAAGCCATTGACTGGGAAGATGAGAAAGGAGAGGCATTTCAGGCAGAAAAGAACACAGATCGTATGGAGGCCCTACAATATCTTAGAATGAGTTGGGACCTATCTGCTCATTGTTCAGTATCACTGGGAGTGAGGGGTGAGCCAGGAAACCTGGGGTGAGCTGCAGAGCTAAGCAGGGGCCAGTGTGGAGGTAGCCTTTAAAACCAGGCCAATGAGGGATTTGTATATTACTTTGTGAGAGACATAGACTACTGTAGGGATATCATAATCAACTCACACTTAGCTCCTATCTTTAATAATGATAGCTTCCATGAGAAATTGCTTTGCTTATAATCTTTGGTTCTACAATCTTTGAGGAAAACCCAGAGAGTAAGGCAATAAGAGCAATAGGAGAATCAAGAACCATGGGCTTGCAGTGGGCAGCTGTGTTGGAACAAAGGCAGCGCTCATTAAATATTTGTTAATTCAACTGACAGTGCTCACGGGGTCTATGCACGAGCTGTCATATTTAAACTCTTTGGAAGAAAAGGGTTCTTTTGAAATATTACCACTTGACTAGGCATTTTGATAAGCTATAACAATCTTCTGGCAGTAACATGTAACGTAAGAGTTCCAAATATTTTCAGTTACCTTCACATCCAAGTTCTTAGAAACAGTTTCTAGGGCAGACATAAAATCTTGAATTGTTTTTTCAGTTTTCCGGTGCTCGTGTCTGATGAAGTGAATGTCTCCAGAAAGCTTCACAATGCTGGAGTCACATCTAGCAGCAAGATGAAAATGGGTTGTGAGATCAATGGGCTCAAACATTTTTTTAATACTACAGTAGGGTATGTGCATTGACCTGATGGCAGAAGTTCTAAAGTTCTTTGAATGATGAGTTAGTAGATAGAGGAGCAAATGCAGAAATCTTCCTTTTTCTCTTTTTTCCCTGATGGGAGAAGAACCACTTTGGATAATGATAACATTGATTAAAATCAAAGAACTGCGTGGAAGTAGATGAAGACATTGAGAGAAAATGGGGAGAATTTTAGATTTTCAGTCTGATATATTAATTTGGTCATAGGAGTTCCAACAGATTTTAATGTTTTGGGAGTACTCCCTGCTGCCTATGGTGAGGCAAAATCGGAAGTTTTTCCTGTTCTGTATTGCCTTCTGAGTCACGCTTTTCCTCCATTTAGTCTCTTTTGTTGACTCCAAGACTGTCAATTCTCTTCTGGCTACAGAGTCCCAGGTCGCCATCATCTTCCAACCCATCTTTAGAAAGCAGTTTCCAGGGGTGCCTGGCTGGTTCAGTGGGTTAAAGCCTCTGCCTTTGGCTCAGGTCATGATGTCGGGGTCCTGGGATCAAGCCGCGCGTCAGGTTCCCTGCTCAGCAGGGAGCCTGCTTCCTCCTCTCTCTCTCTCTGCCTGCCTCTCTGCCTACTTGTGATCTCTGTCTGTCAAACAAACAAATACAATCTTTAAAAAATAAATAAATAAAAATTAAAAACCGTTTGCCTCCTCTCAGTGCCAATCAAAACTCCTGATGGGGATCTCAGGACCCCGAGGGATCTCAGTCAAGTGTTGTCTTCCATTAGGACAAAAACAATTCACACTAACATGGGAATAAAGTTTTAGTCCCTCAATTGCATTGGTATCTTGAGGAAGGAACTCCAGTGAAGTGGGGTTGGAGTTGAAGATGAACCATCTTCCCAGCGTGTCAGGGGACCCCACTGCATTATCAGCACTCAAGGCTTCTGCTGGGAGAGGATGGGTTGCATATTGTATTATCCTTTCAATCCATGCATATATGCATGAAAGATAGGATGTAGAACACTGAGAGACAGTGTCTTTCATACAAAGTTATCAGAGATCACTTTGAGGTTTGTGCTTTTATAAAATAACTCTTTTGACTGTCCTCAAATAATATTTATTAGGAAACACATTTTCATGTTGTCATGCTGAGTGCTATAAATACTGTTTGTTTTATAGCTGTCAATATTTTTTAGAATCTGGAAATGGATTTGTTTTTCTTAAGATTTTTGGTGCCAAAGCTGAGACAGAAGTGAGTAAGATGGTAATTTTGCCTGAGAAATCCCTTCAAGAGATACCAGGGGACTGTTGTGATGGGGGCGGGAGGGGGTGGTGGGGAGAGAATGCTGGGAACAAAAATTACGAATTAAATCTGATCAAAAATGGGAACTGGCTTGTAATGCACCAGTGATAGGCAAAAGCCGTTTGGTAGTAGAAACCGTTGCTGTCAAAACAAGTTCTGGGGGTGGCTAGTTAGGATAATCTTATGTGAATCCACATTAAGGTCCCCAAAGATTACACAGAAATGGTGGGTGCTGTCACGGCTCCATGCTACTCCTCACCCAATGCCCTCCCTCCTTGTCCGACCGTCAGAGACAACTGGTCTGTGCCTTGTAGCCTAATGGTTAAGAAGTGGTCTCTGGTGTCACAATGACCTGGCATTGAATCTGCTACTTTGTAACTTGATACATTATTCAAGGATGAAAGGAGGAACAAATAGACAGGATTTAGCCAGAACCTGGCACTGAGGAAGCTCCCCTACCCGATCAACAGCTTTATTTATTCTTTCTTGCCTTCCCACACAGACACACTCACCGCCAAAATCACCACACGCTGATTTGTTTTGTTGACCTGGTTGTCTAATGATTCTTTATTCCTGATGTCCAGTCACTTCGACCAGGATATCTTGACTGAATTGTTCTTATAGCAATGTTTCTGGGATTACAGTCTTTATCTACAGGCTCAAATCTCTGTTTTAAGTAAGCTTTCTTCTCTTACACCCATGAACAGTTTTTTCCTGAAGGATCCATTCTTTCTTCTTGAGGAAGTTCCTGTAGGGTCTATGTTGAATGAGTTTTACCTGTCTGCTGTATATATCAATTTTTGATAGTCATTTTTGTATTGAAAAACGTTTTCTTTTTGTTTTTTATGGTTTGCTCATGTTTGCTTTTTAAAAAATAAATTAGTATTATTTTTAGTTGTATTTATTCTATTTGGAGGGCTTCCAAAGCATATTTAATCTCTGTGATATTTCAGGGTTATGGGTTTTTTTTTTTATCCTCCACCTTAATCCTGAGCAATTCTAGTTCATCTTCTATCTCATTCTTTTATGTGATCATCTCTTTTTGGGGGAAGCACTTCTTTTTCTTTTTTTTTTTTTTTTAAATTATTTTTACTTTATGAAACTAAAACATGCCTATAGTTTAGAACCCAGTAAAAACTAAAAGCCTAATAACAAACCATAGTGGCTCCTTGCTCTGCTCCTTCCTGCTGCTCTCAGGTCTCCCTGGACACAGGGGCCTGTCTTTGCTCCCAGTTTCAAAGGGTCCTGGTGCGGCCAACTCCTATGCCTTTTGAGAATTCTGTGCTGTAAAACCACATCATTCTGAGCTTATCACCCAGGTTTAAAATTGGTTTTATTATGTCTTCTAAGTCAGTTTCCACATGTCTGCCTGTTTTCTAGGTTCAAGATTTCTATGCTGATATCCTCTGTCTTTGTGGGTATGTTTTAAAGAGAAACATTATTTTTGCTGTGGGCTTAGTGGGACTTGGGGAAGGAGCAAGAGTACACGTGACTGTTCAATCAGCAATCTTTTATCTCTTTCTTTTGTTCTTAACTTCTTTGAAACCAGGAAAACCTTTGGTTTGAAGTCGTCCTGTGTTTTTCTGGTTAATTCTTCTCACTGGGGTATGTTTAGCAATCTTACATTTTTCTCTGTCTATTGATGGTGGTGGTGGTGGCAATTTTTATGCAGAGCCTAGATTCTTCCTAATTATCACTCTTAGATCTTTGAATGATTCTGACCACCTGCAGGTCGCCAAGTGTGTTTTGGTGAGGCCACATCCTCCACGTAGGTTTGTGATATGAAATCTGTTATTTCTCTAGGCCTTTTTGTCCTCAAACAGCAGACTGGTATATTTCACAGCCCATCATTGAGTGCTAGGATTCTCTGTTGTGACGCTATAGGCCTCCGCCCATTCTGCCTATAGTGGGTCAGTGTGTCTCTCAGGTGTGAATTTGCAAACACAGAGGTAAGTCCCAGATGATTGCATCCTCAGCTCCACTCCCCAACCACTCTGTGTTACTGACCTGAATCCCTAAACGGCCATTTCCTCTCTCTCCTATTTCCCATCTGAGCTCCTAGGTAATATTGCTCTGTTTAAATTATTTGGCCTATTAGGACTTTGACTCTTGATTTGGAGCAAATCATTATGTTTAAGGTTGGGGGAGGACTCCATTGGTCCAGACATCACAGTATTTGGTAAGTGGACTTTGTGGTCTGCTGTTGTGGCAACCTCCAAGTTATATTAAAGATAAAGTTTTTGTTTCCTTTCCTATGTTTTTAACTGGGTTTAGGTTGTCTCAAGTGAGAGAAGTGACGTGAAAATATTTTTATTCAACTATCTTTATTTTTTTTATAAAGATTTTTTTTAATTTATTTATTTGACAGACAGAGATCACAAGTAGACGGAGAGGCAGGCAGAGAGAGAGAGAGGAGAAAGCAAGCTCCCCGCTGAGCAGAGAGCCCGATGCGGGGCTCGATCCCAGGACCCTGAGACCATGACCTGAGCCGAAGGCAGAGGCTTTAACCCACTGAGCCACCCAGGCGCCCCTATTCAACTATCTTTAATCAGAAGTTCCTACTCACACAGGTTCAAAAAGTTAACAATATCCATAATATTGTTAGTGTTCTCCAAAGAATATGACTTTTGTTTTTAGTCACCTACCAACGGAATTTATTATTTTTTCATAAACAAATCTTTCTTCGAGTCCCAAATCACCAAATGTGGCTGGAAGTTTGGCCTCCCTCTGGCTGCGGCTACAGACTGTAAATCATAGCCATCCCTATGGGAATTCTTTACATATTTGCTTTTCCTCATTTGTCCTTGAGACTTTCATCTACCACATAGAGGGGAGGGTATCAAAAGCAGGCCAGACAACTTTGAGAACCTCATCTCATTGCAAGTACTTGCTTTTAAACTGCCACTTCTTTTAGAATAGGAAATAAGTTGCAAAATTCAAAGCACATTGCCATTATTAAATACTGAGTTTGAATTATTCAGCAGTAGAAAGTTTGCTAGGAATTATGTTAGAATAATCAACTTAATCTCAGTTATGCCAAAATATAATTGGAATGAAGGTCAGTATATGTGGAAAGACAGTCATGAATTCGGTCTCAGATGTCCGTTTCTCACATGCCTGGCAAAAATACACAAAACGGGAGAGGATTGCAGAGTTTAAGTCTCATGGCTTTTAACCAGGTTCTGTCTCAGATTAACAAACGGATTTAAGAAATTTTCCTAAAAGGCAGACCTTTCAAGGAAAAATAAGACCTTGTCCTAAAATCACTACTTAAGATTCATGGGGAAGATAATTAAGCAATTGAAGAGTAAGATGGAGGACTAGGAGGCCCTTGGTTTCCCCTTCTCCTCTGGATGCACCAAATAAACAGCTACACACAGATGAGGTACCTCTGAGAAAAATCCAGAAACTAATATAAAGACTCCTATATATCAGGCAACTAAGAAAATACTGAAAAGGTAGGAAAAGCTGAGACTCATGCTGTAAACACCTTTCTTGGCACAGAGCCTTCCTTACAACTGGGGGTGGGGACCCCTGAAATCCCAGCTTCTTCCTGAGGAGTGACGGGTTTGAACCACACAGTCACTCGAGAGACTGGCTTCCAAATCACCCAATTCTAAGAGCTGATGGGGCTCATTTGCTAGTCCCTTGGGACCATAGAAAACAAAGAGTTAGTTTAAAACAACCACCAAAATTTAAAAATCGACAAAGAATCTGAGTAGACATTTATGTAAAGATGACATACAAAGGACCAACGGGTACAATGAGAGGTACTTGACATCACTGATCATCACGAAGCTGCAGATCAAAACCACAGTGAGATATCATCTTACACCTGTTACGATGGCTATTATCAAAATAATAAAAAGATAACAAACGGTGACTAGTATGTGGAGAAAAGAAAACCCTTGTATAGTGTTGGTAAGAATGTAAATTGGTACAGCCATTGTAGAAAACAGGATGAAAGTTCTTCAGGAAACTGAAAATAGAACTATTACATCATCCAGCAACCCCTCTTCTGGATATATATCCAAAGGAAATGAAATCAGTACTTGGAAGAAATATCTGAACTCCCACATTCATTGCAGCAATACTCATAATAGCCAAGAAATGGAAACAACCTAAGTGTCTGTTGACAGATGAATCGATAAAGAAATTGTGAGATACACACACACACACAGGCACACTCATGCACACATTCTGATTATTATTTAGATTCAAGAAAGGAGACATTGCCATTTGCGAATACGTGGATAAAACCGGAGGACATTATGCTAAGTTAATGAAGGTAGACACAGGAAGAAAAAAAAAATACATCATCTCATATAGAATCTGAAAATGTAAAATACATTGAAGCAGAGCGTAGAATAGTGCTTATCCAGGGTGAGGAGGTGGGGGAAATGGGGAAATACCAGTCAAAGAGTACAAAGTTGCAATTAGGTAGGAAGAATATGCCTAGAGACCTAATATACACTGGGATGACTATCGTTAATAATGTTGTATTGAAGAATAGAAATATAGTAAGAAAGTAGATTTCAGATGCTCTAGTCACACACATAAAATGGTAACTACGTGAGGAGAAGGTATATTAATGAGCTTGACTGTAGTAATCATTTGAGTATGCATATATATATATCAAATCATCATGTTGTAGACTTTAAATATAAATAGATTTTATTTTTAAGAAAGGAGACAAAAAATTAGAGCAGAGCAGAAAGAGTTGCATATCTCGTTCTTGATATTATACCATTCATGTCATAGTTTCATTTAAATCTGTTATTTTGTCTTATTTGTAAAGCAGGATTTACAGAAATTGAAGAGTAGGTTTGTGAGAAGTTTGCAGAAAGAATAAATAGTTGAGGCATCATCAGCACACCACCAAAGGAAACCAAGTTTTTTCAAAACAGATGTTTGGTGTTTATCTTTGCAAAATCATGGCACGTCTAGATCTGATGGTGGGTTTGCTCGTGTTTGTTTTATCATCTTGCTTCATGACTTACCAAATATTATAAAATTTCCTTCGTGTATATCAAATATGATATAATGAAATAGAGAAGGTTGTATATTTTATTTTTTTAAGAGATTTTATTTATTTATTTGACACAGAGAGAGAGATCACAAGTAGGCAGAGAGGCAGGCAGAGAGAGAGGGGGAAGCAGGCTCCCTGCTGAGCAGAGAGCCTGATGCGGGACTCAATCTCAGGACCCTGAGATCATGACCTGAGCCGAAGGCAGAGGCTTAACCCACTGAGCCATCCAGGTGCCCTGAGAAGTTTGTATATTTTAGACATATAAACATATATTTATAAATAATATAATTACATCTCTCTGTGTGTGTGTACACACATAGGTACTATTCCTGTAGATTGTTTTCCTAATGTCTGGTACTTGCTCTGGACTTTCATGGCTAGTGTTTTAGTTTTAGCCCTTGACATTTGGCACCTTGATTGCTACAATAGGCTCCCTTTCATTTTCACGCTTCCTTTCTGTACCCCAGCAATTCGACTAATACTAGAATGTCACTAAATATCTCATCTCCTTACTCACGATCTTCCCATCGTTCCTTATAACCTTCTACGTGAAATTCCTATCTCTTACCTTGGCCCACAAGATTCCTCAGCATCCAATCTGGACCACCTGTGAGCTTCATCTCCCCATCTCCCATCACTCCCTAAATGCAAGCCCCAGATACCAAAACTAAAACACACTTCTCACAGGTATCCCCTTGAACCTGTCACAGTAATTCATCTCTCAGTTCTTTTGCATGTATTATTCCTCGTATATGAAGGGCATTTCCCATCCTTCCTAATCTAGCAAACTTCTATAGATCCTTCAAAACTCATCTCAAGTGTCACCTCCTTCAGGAAGACTTCCCTATGCCTCAATCTGATTTGGATATTCCCATGGCACCACAGTCTCTCATTGTAGCGTTCATCTTATTCCTTACATTTGGAGCTTGTTTCCCCAGGTAGATCATAAACCTGGGGCCATGGGGAATTGAAAGTGGACCATGTTGCTGAATCCCTGAATCCCAGCATAGCCTGGCATATGACATAGAGCTTAATGCATTTCTTGTTGTTGTTAAGTCGAATGGATAGATACTCTGAGAGAAGTTTGTCCTAGGTATTGATCAACTAATCCTTATTTGGTCATTAACATCTCAGAGCAGATTAGCAAAATGGAGGCTGGGTATTCCAAGAGAGAGGAAGAAGGAAGAAGATGTAGTGTTGCAAAGGTATCTATAGTCAGCCATTCACAAGTAATCTTTTATATGCCTATTAAAGTGGTCCTGCCATTGTCAAGACCCACAAATTTTTGCTAACCTGTATAGCATTAATTCTTTTTTTTTTTTAATTTATTTGTCAGAGAGTGAGGGAGAGAGAGCGAGCACAGGCAGACAGAATGGCAGGCAGAGGCAGAGGGAGAAGCAGGTTCCCCGCCGAGCAAGGAGCCCGATGTGGGACTCGATCCCAGGACTCCAGGATCATGACCTGAGCTGAAGGCAGCTGCCCAACCAACTGAGCCACCCAGGCGTCCCAGCATTAATCCTTTTGATTCAGAAATAGCATTTGAAAGATGTTCCTCAAAATTTTATCCTATTAGGAAGCAAATCCTTTTTGTTAGCTTTTTATACGTCATTCTTATATATTTTAAACGTTTGAAGAATTAGAATTTGACACATCTTGAAATTTTGTTTGTGGCTGTGAGGGCTGTGTCTCTGTATAAGATGTTGGTATTTGGACAGTCAAGGGCTATAAAGACATACCTTCCTTGTCACTTTCAGATGGAACCAAACTGGACGTTGTGTAGAAGGGGTCTCTTATAAAACCCTCGAGTCTCACAGGTGGTGAGAGGCTTTCAAATTCTAGCATACACTTTCTCAATTACCACCTTGTCAGTTTAGCTTCATGTAAAGACATTATCTACTTTTCTACTACATAGAACTTATTTGGGAATGAGAATTCTGTGGGCAAGAACTGACTATCTGCTGCATGTTTCTTCTCACCTGGCTACTCTTCCTCGAAGATCTCCAACTCCTTGAACGTGTTTGGTGTTTAGCTCCTGTACTGCAAAATTAGTTCCTGTGGCCACCTGGTCTCGAGCTCTTATTTGGTCTTCCAAAACCTGTAAATTTGAGTAAAAATTCCCATTAATTTCCCATCACACATGATAAGAAAATATAGTTTAAAGCAGAGGCTATCAAATTGAATGCCTTTCCTAAGTAGGCCGAGAGTGTAAATGAGTGAGAGAGTCCTACGTCAGAGAGAGAGGCAGTCCCTGCCTTACCTGAGGGGGCAGGGATGGCCTGATCTCAACAGACCGTTGCCAGGTAGGAATAATAGCTCAGTAGTATTTCAACACAAGCCAGAAATCTAGATTTTATGTTAAACATTTCAATTTTTTAAAAAAAGATTTATTTCAGAGAGAGAGTGAGCACAAGCATGAATGAGGGGAGGGGCAGAGAAAGAGAGAGAATCTTAGCGGACTCCTTGCTGAATGTGGAGCCTGATACGGGGCCGATCTCCTGACCCTGAGACTATGACCAGAGCCAAAACTGAGTCAGAAGCTTAACCGACTGAGCCACAAAGGCATCCCTAAATCTTTCAATTTTTAAAGATTGACATCTTAGTCAAAATCTTTTATAAACACGATATGGGCCAAATAAAACATATTTCTTGTGCTGTAAAGGCCCTGAGTGCCATTCAGCCATGACCGATATAAAAGTTTTTCCACAAAAACCTATTTCAGAATTGGTGGTAGGTTTGGAAAAAGGGATCTTTGTATGGCATCAGGCAATACCCTTTACAGATTGACTCAGAAACAAAGTGAAGCTAATACAACTAACACAAGCAAAATCACATGGAGTGAAAAAGATTTATTTTCTTGGTTTTTTAGAGAGCACTAGAGATGGGTGGTTTGAAGTGTGTTCAGATTTTGCCCTTGAGTATCCTTAGTCATGTCTTCAGTAGTTCTGACATAGAGCTAAGTGTCTTATACTACCAGGTTGGTGGTTCCAAGCATAGTAGTTTAAATTTTTTCACACTCATATGTAAGTATTAAGCTAAAAATTTAAAAATAATTCTACTTGTCCATTGACAAAATTTCTATCTTACTTGACATTCAAATTCTAATGTGAAGTGAAGATATATAAAATAATTTGTATTTATTCATAAAAAGTGAGAGTATAAGACAAGTTCATGATTTGGGGAAATGTTTTAGTTGCCCTATTTGAATAGGGCCTGAACTATGTTTAAATTTATGTTTATGATTTTTTTTTGAGGAACAGGAGGATTTTTGTAACAAATGAATGATAGAAATTTTAAAGACCATACACAGGATCTTTCTCCTTTGTAAACTCGGCAGACTGAGAAGATTCAAGGGCAAATAAAATTTTAATTGAAAACATAGAAGTGTCCAGAACACTAGCTAGAGTTTTTTGTTTTTATTTGTTTTTGCGTGTGTGTGGGTGTCTTAGTCCATTCAGGCTGCTCTAACAAAATATCACAGACTGGGAAGCTGCTAAAGAACGGGAATTTATTTCTCGTAGTTCTAGAGGCTGAAGGTCCAAGGTCAGGGTGCCGGCATGGCCCCTCTCTGGTGAGAGCCCTCTTCTGGGTTGCAGACTGCCTGCCTACTTCTTACCATGTCTTCACATGGTAGAAGGGGCAAGGGAGATCTGTGGGTGTTTTTTTTGTTTTTGTTTTTTTTTTATTAGGAGGGCACTAGTCCTGTTCGTGAGACCCCCACCTCCTAATACCATCACATTGGGCATGAGATTTCAAAATGTGAATTTTGGGGGAGAGGGGAGAGACACAGACATTCAGACCAAAGAATAGATATTATTTGGTTTTGTTTTGGTAAAGAATTGCAATGAAAGGGAAGTTGCCCTACTGAACACTGAAACATATGAGACAAGGATAAATGCATCAGTGTAGCTAAGTAGATATGCATACCTAAATAGATCAATGTAATGTAATGAAGGCCTTGGTAAAGGTAAGAACGAAAGGCGCTATCCTTGAGGCTCACAAACAGTGGGGAGGGGGGAGAGTTTTACAGATGGTGTTGGGATCTCTGGTTATCTATTCAGAAAACAATCAATTTAGATCCTTACCGACAGACATCAATACAGATTTTAGAAAAGTTGACTGAAAATATAAATAAAAGATTACACCATAAAAATAACAGTACAGGTGATTATTTCAGTTCTAAATGAAGATATTTTGATTCTTAAAAAATAATGAGAGAAATCTCAGAGCAAAATACTGGAATGTTTAACCTTTTGTAAAAGTTGATAGAAACATTGTAAATACAACTAAGGTGTAAACAACGAACTGGAAAAACATTTATAGTAAATGTTATGGCCAAGGATTTCAGTTCTGTTCTTCAATCAACACCGACTTGCTGGTGAAAGCCAATTAGGCCTATCTTTTCCCATCTTTGTGTTTGGTGTTTGGGTGTTTGAAATCAATCACAGTGAGAGTATTAATACCATGGAAACAGGTAAACACGACAAACCAAGTTTTTATCTGCCAGAAAATATTTCACTGCTGGTTTTAAACATTTGCCAAGGTACCACCAACTATTATCCTTAACTAGTAAAAAAAATCTCAACAAACCAATAAGAATTAAAAAGCATTAAAACTCCAAAAATTAAACTGGCAAAAGGCATTAGTAGATGACTGACAGAGAGAATGTAAATGGTTATAGGCACTTTTAGAAAGTGGGGGGAAAAAAAAAGAAAGAAAGATCTCATTCCTATCCCATCAGTTTAGCAAAGTTAAAACAGCAAATCTCAATGCTGGCATCGGCACAGTGAAAAAGCATTCTCATATAATGCTAATGGAAGTGTAAGTTAGTATCAACTTTCCGGAAACGTATTTGGCAGCCTGCATCAAGAGCTTTTCCAGTGTTCACACCCTGGAGTTCCACTTCTAAGAATATACACTATGGAAATAAGCTAAATACAGACATACATTTATGCACAAAGTTACTTTAATATTAAGATAATAAGTTGGGAAATCATGGTGCATGCTCCATGCAAAGAACCTTTAATGACATGTATGAGTTTATGATGTAATTTGATATTAAAACGGTGCTTATAAATGTAGTCTCAGCCTGAATGGGAAATGTGGAAGGACTTGAGGGACATGACTTTGGCTGTTTGTAGAGATTGCCATTTGCTGGTGGAATTATGAGAATTTTTTGCCCCCAGGTTTTAAAATTTTTTTCTAAGTTTTCACAATGATTATATGCTTTTATAAATTGTTGGGGAAAAAAAACACAAGAAAGCAATGTTATACATAAAATTCTTTTCTTGAGTTTAAATTAATTTTAAAATTTGTAATTAGATGCCAGCTTGAAAAACAGATAATTTGGTTATCAAAAGGAATAGCAACTTAAGTGTTACCATTATGGTTGTTTAAAAACAATTTTTTTTCAACCCTTTCAAAGGCCCAAGTCAAGCTTCAGCTCACACTCAAACCTATCTTGCTGGTCAGTCTGCAAGAGCTGACCAGGCTAATGACCTTACATTTTTTATTTATTTATTTATTTTTTTTTTTTTAAGATTTTATTTTATTTATTTATTTGACAGAGAGAGAGATCACAAGTAGACGGAGAGGCAGGCAGAGAGAGAGAGAGAGAGGGAAGCAGGCTCCCTGCTGAGCAGAGAGCCCGATGCGGGACTCGATCCCAGGACCCTGAGATCATGACCTGAGCCGAAGGCAGCGGCTTAACCCACTGAGCCACCCAGGTGCCCCGACTTTACATTTTTTAAAAAAAACACTGAATAACATCTATTTCTCTATAGTCTTAATTATTTACTAAAGGTAGCTTAATAGTTTCTTCTTGATAATTTTTTTAAAGATTTTATGTATTTATTTGACAGAGAGACACACAGCAAGAAAGGGAACACAAGCAGGAGGAGTGGGAGAGGGAGAAGCCCGAGCCCCCTCAGTGTGGGGCTCATCCCAGGACCCTGAGCTCATGACCTGAGCCCAAGCCAGACGCTTAACAACTGAGCCACCCAGGCGTCCCAATCTTCTTGATAATGTTTTAATTATGTTATCTACAGATTTTAAAATATTTTCTAATTCAGTTTACTACACAGACCAATTCTCCTCATTTTCCCTATAAGTGCCAACCCCTTAAAAGGACTGCAAATATTTTGGGATTTTATAGTTTTTAGAAAATGTTTTGTCTTTTTTCACAGCTAATCTATGACAGTCAATTATTCTGGGAAAAGAAACTCTTAGCAAGATTTCTATTGATCTGGAAACTTTTCCCTCCTTAAGGTTAAGAACATTTTATTGAAGTATAATTAATATGTATTAAAAGGTACAAGTCAAAGTGTATGTCTGGATGGATTTTGACAAATATAATCAACCATGTAACAACCACCCAGATAAAAATATAGACCATTCTAGAAGCATTTTGTTATTTCTGAGAATGCTATTTTCTTCTTAATTACCAACAAGTTTTGACTTTTAAATTGGTATCTTATTTTAGCACTAGTGCTGTACTTGATTTTGTCATTATCTCAAAGGCAATGAGCCACTAACCTCTTGTCACTTTCTTAACACTGTTATGCCTAGAAACATATTTGACCTCTTTGAGAAGCGCACTGACTTTTTAGGGATCAATTCATTATGTGCTAAATACCAATAAAATACCTTTTAAAAGTTCACTAAGTTTTTTTCATAATTACATGAAAAGAATCTTGGAGATTCAGATTCAAATGAGCACCTAAAAACAATATCTGACATATTGTTAAACAATTCTCTCTTCTGTCACAGAACAACACTAAATGCTTTTTGAACAGAATTTCCTTCTACTTTTTGGCATAAATGAGCAGTTGAAAAGTTGAACTGTTATCCTCTGGGGCCACTTGTTGTAATCATTTAAACTTAAGCTATAGGGACCCATTTCTATAATTGAAAGATGATATTGGTGGTTGATAATTGTTGTCAAGCAATGATGCCAACATATGGAAAATAAAGAACTACCTCAATATTTTGGCTGAGTTTTTTGACAATGCTGGTGATGGTCTGGATATGGTTTTCCAGTAGCTTCCTGGCAAGCAACTCCTCTTTTTGAAAGCCGTGGGTCCCCTGAAGACAAGCAGAGATGTCCTCCTTGATGCGGAAGGCTTGTTCAAGGAGGAACGCAATGGTGCGCTCCTGGTTGTTCAGTCTGTCTTCTAGCTGACTTCTCTGCGTGTTTGGAATCACAGGAAGAAAAGAATGACCCCTAGTCAGGAAAAGGAAACAACACCAGTGGCGTTACAAGAATGAGTTGGAGGAACCGGAAGCAGAACTTGCATCTTCACTTCTACTCCAGTCTTGTCTCCCCTGTGGGGAAGTTTGGAACTTTGGGAGGACTCTAAGCACCTGCCTGGTTAGATCCTGGTTTACATCTCATCTAAGAAGATCTAACTTTGGCCTTGGTCTTACATTATGCATTTTTCATGTTCCCTAAGAAGGAATCATTTCATACTTTACCCACCTATTCTAACAAACCAAAGTTAGATCCATAAAAATTCAATGCCTGAAAATTCCACATTGAAGGGAGTGTTGCCTTCTAAGCCGGAAGAAATGATAGCTCAAAGGCAGATAGCTCAAAGAACCCAGAATTTCAGTGGAAGAGTAAACACAGTAAATTAAAGGAAGAGAGCAAAAGTCTAGGGCTCTTTAGTATTAGGGTAAAGAAACATGCAAGATCCTGGTAGCCCCTACTGGCATGAATATATTCCTCTTTCCTTTCACAGATAAGCTCTTGAAGGACAGACTACTTTTGATTTGTCTTTTTAAAAATTTTCTTTATTGAATTTACTTTGAAAGGAAATGAGTTACATAGTTGCTCAGGGGTAAAATTTCCGGGCACACTATGGTCTTGACCCAAATGCTGACCTAGCATGATAGCGGGCTTCCTATCCTCGCCCCCTCCTAAAACCTTGGAGGATCTAGAAAGGAAACTTAGAAAACTGTGAAAACCCCTTGTGCCGTGAGGGTTATTTTAAACTGGTGAATGTGTAGGGCGTCTTCTCCTCAGTCATTTTCTTTCTTTCTTTTTTTAAATTATTTTTATTATTTATTTGTCAGAAAGAGAGCACAACAAGGGGGAGCAGCAGGCAGAGGGAGAAGCAGGCTCCCCACCGAGCAAGGAGCCTGACGTGGGGCTCAATCCCAAGACCCTGGGATCATGACCTGAGCCCAAGGCAGGCGCTTAACCGACTAAGCCACCCAGGTGTCCCCTCCTCAGTCACTTTCTATCATAAGAACCCATTTCATTTTCTCCCCAACATTTGTCCTTATCTAAAGTTATCTTACTTCTTTGTGTTTATTTTCTGCCCTCTATCACTAGAATGAAAGTTTCCTGTGGGCAGGGACTTTATCTAACTTGTTTTCCACATTGTCTCCAACACTGAGAAGAATGCCTGATATGTAGTAGGTACTCAATAAATATTTATTGACTGTTTTTGTTTCTAGCTAGAAGGTTTGTTCCCTTAAGGCTCAGTTGTTGGAAATTGGGGGATGCGGGGGGATGGGAATGGTGCCATAAAGCTACAGGTTGGAAAAGCGTCAAGGTTTACAAGTTTCTCCTCTTAAGCAGTATAAAATAGCCTCAGCCTGGGTGAGGCTCTTCCTTCCTTTCACCTGCACATCTGAGGCACAAAGAAGGCTTTGCTAAGGGTTCCATTAAATTCTCTCTACCACTCATTTGACTCAAGTATGTTCTTCTGGAAAATACCAAATGGAAAATATATATATATTTCCATTTGGAAATTAATTATATATATTTCTAATTTATAATTAATTAGAAATATATATAATATAAATATAATAATATTATAATTTATAATAATATTATAAAAATATAATAATATAAATATATTTATAATTTATAATTATAATTTATAATTTAATTATAAATCTATAATTAATTTTATTATAAGTTTATATTTATTTATTTATATATCTATTTATATATAAATACAGACTATACATTTTTATATAATATATATAATATTATATATTTATATAATACAGACTATTTATATATTTATATATAAATACAGACTAAAATATATTTATTTATATAATTTTATTATAAATTTATAATTAATTATAAATTTAATTATAAATTTTATAATTTATAATTAATTATATATATATTTCCATTTGGTATTTTCCAGAAATATATATATTTATATATAAATATATCTGTATATCTATAGATATATAGATATATCACACACACACACACATTCCATTCCTTTAAAACCCGGGCATGCTGACAGTGCTCCCCTGGATTGGCTGTGTGAGTCACAGGCGGAAGGGAAGAGGATGTCAGGCCCTGCCGATGGTGACACATAGCCTAGTGGCAGACTGCTGATTTACTTGTGATCTTCCTTGAGTGAGCGCTTCTTTCTGGCCTCTCAACATTCTGCAGCCTAAATGTGCCAGTGAAAGAGTGTTTGGTTCCTAGTCTTCCATCCCACATAAACACTTGTGAATGACGTTGCATTCCTCTCAAAATTGAGTATTTGTGGTACTCTTAGGTGTTCCCAGTGTGGCAGACATTGTCAGTGAACTCACAGCCACCCCTCCCCCCCCCCCACAGCTTCTACCTAATTTGGTTGATCCTCCCATCCCCCATATCCTTCAGCTGGGCATGATAATCATGGTGGTCTCCTTCTGGGTTGAGATGTAATTGGTTTAAGTAGGAGCATGTGAAACAATTCTGGCCAGTCTGGTGAAAGGAGAAACCCTTTGTGGGGTTTCTGGGCAAGGTTTCTTTGCTTTCAAGAAGAGATACATAAGAAGAAACTTCCGACTTCTTTGCTGGATGTTGTCATGTCTGTGTGTGGTGTCTGGAGCTGCTGAAGCCATCTTGTGATCATGAGGGAGAAAAGGATGGCAGGGAGGAAGGATAGAAAACACCTGCTTAATGACATTAAGTCTCTAAATCAAACTCTGGATTGTTAAAAATGTGAGCTAATCAACCATTATGGCTGGAGTTTGTGTTATGTGTAGCTGAAGGCACTGTATAAATACCTGATAATCTACCAATAAGAATGACAGTTGAAATAAAAATGCCAGTAAGTATTTACTAAATGTCTACTCTAGTCCATGCTTAATATATAATGGTCTATCCCACAAGGAACTTAGTCTAATTCAGTGTTTCTTATAAAAAAACTTGAATTAGTACCACGGGGGTGGAGAAGGGAGGGAAGTTGTTACAATGCAGATTCCATGGCTCAACCATAGATGCATTCAATCATCACCTTGATCGGTGATGGGTCACCGCAAGAATATATATTTTAAATAAGCACTTAGGTGTTTCTAAATGTCTTCTAAATGTTGAACATCATTGATTGAAGACTGGTCAAAGGAATCAGTGAACGATATAAGGCAGAATATAATGAAGTACTGATGTATAAAACAGAGACTATGAGCTCTCAAGTCATGTGGATAGTCAGAAACAGTCGGCAAGGTGGTAGACAAGATAGACCGAGGGTAGAATATGGGTCCTGCCATTTACCAACCAAGTGTTCCAATTAATTCATCCTTGCATGGGGCCCCCAGGCCTGCTAGGCTGTATGGTTGTGAAGTTCTGGATGGTTCTTGTGAGAGGCACAGGGTGGGTGTGGTGAAACCAGAGAGCTGCAGGGTTATGAGGAGCCCATGTTTTCTCATGCTTCGGGGGGTGCTATTGGCCGGTGTCAAGACTGTATCTAGAGAGAAGCATGAGGAATCAGACTGAAGCCAGCAGAGGGCCAGGGGAACAGGACCGCCGCCTCTGCTCAGATGCCTGTCTGTGGTCCTGCCTGTCATGATGGGCCTTGAGGATGTTGCCATTTGGCCCATTGAAGGAAGCTTCTAGGGAGGACAGCACCTCCTGCTATGCAAGTATATTTTCCTGCAAACCCAGGGACAGTAACTGATTTATATGAATGATGGACTTTATGATTTCTTCTACCTTTTAAAGTTTATTTTTAGAAGTTCTTTTACACCTAAATGAAAAACATTCCTTTTTGTGATTTCTTTCTTTTCTTTTCTTTTTTTTTTTTTTTTAAGATTTATTTATTTGACAGACAGAGATCATAAGGAGGTGGAGAGGCAGGCTAAGGGGCCGGGGGGAAGCAGGCTCCCTGCCGATCAGAGAGCCCGACTCGGGCCCGATCCCAGAACCCTGGGATCATGACCTGAGCTTAAGGCAGAGGCTTTAACACACTGAGCCACCCAGGAATCCCTCCTTTTTGTGATTTCTTTTCATGCTTAAGGTTTACTATAGATTGGGATTTTATTATTATTTATTAATGATGCCTAATGAAGCTCTAGATAATGCTCTGTTTAGTTCTATTTACATGTTTCCTGCAAGATAAACATAGAGCTTATATATTTTCCCACTTCCATTACCGTAATAAAAGAGAAGGCTGTTCTGCAAGTGAGCTTTCTAAATCAACCACCAGAAACACACACATAGGAACATTCTCAATCTTCGAAGAGAGATTCCAGATACCATGGTTCAAAGCATCTGGCCATCCAAATGGTTAAAACCTGAATAACAAGATGTGGCCACTCGGATTCTTTCAGTAAGTTAAAAACAAGAACAAGCCTGTTGTTTTTATTAGTGTATTCTATCAGTGGGACTTATACCTAAATTTAACTGTGAAAACAAAGAAATGACTGAATATTCCAGACTCGTTCCGATGGAGTTACTAACCACAGGAGAAAGAATTCCGGGGGGGGGGGGGTTTTCAGAGAGATATTTGGGCTTTACATAAATCATTGATGATGGAGCTGACAACGGAATCAGAACAGATTTTCCACAAACTCCGAGTTCTATTTCTCTGCAATTCCGTGTGACTTGGACCAGCTGTGCTGTTGCTGGCAGATGCCTCAGCACAGAGCCTCTCACTTCTCTGCCTGTTCTGTTCTTGTGAATAGAGCACTAAATTTACTCAGGAGATTCTGATAAACATTTTGGCAACCTGTAATACTCAAGACACAAAAATGGGAGAGTTGAAGGCCTTTTCTAGAACAATGAGAAGCAGAACTGAAGAAAGTTTTTGCTTGTGTTTGATCTATTAGGACCGGTTCCATTCTTGGTGCCTAGAGTCCTACAAACAATATACATATAAAGTGACATTTTAGGGAACATTTTTTTTTTTTAAAGATTTTATTTATTTGTCAGAGAGAGAGAGAGAGAGCGAGAGTGAGCACAAGCAGATAGAGTGGCAGGCA